GATCTCGAACCCGCGGGCTCAGGCAATTCACTCATCTCAGCCTCCCAAAGCGCAGGATTACAGGCTGAGCCACTGAGCCCGGCCTACTTTCTAAATCAACTATATTTTCCAATCTTAAAAAAAAAAATTTAGCTGGGTGTGGTTGTGCATGCCTGTAGTTCCAGCAACTCAGGAGGCTGAGGCAGGAGGATCACCTGAGCCGAGAAGGTCAAGGCTACAGTGAACTGTGATTGTGCCACTGCACTCTAGCCTGGGTGACAGAGTGAGACCCCAATTCAAAAATAAAATAGGCTACGTACGCTGGCTCACTCCTGTAATTCCAGCACTTTAGGAGGCCAAGGCGAGAGGATTGCCTGAGCCCACGGGTTCGAGACCAGCCCAGGCAACTAGGCAAGACCTCGTCTCTACAATAAGTGAAAAATTAGCTGGGTGTGGTAGTGTGCACCTGTAGTTGCAGCTACTTGGAAGACTGAGGTGGAAGGATTGCCTGAGCCCAGCAGGTCGAGGCTGTGGTGGCCATGAGCGTGCCACTGCACTCTAGCCTGCGTGACAGAGTGAGACTCCAACTCAAATAAGTAAATAAAATCATGCAGTGTTTGGCCTTCTGTGACCAACTTATTTCACTTAACATAATGTCCTCAGGCTGAGGTGAGAGGATTGCCTGAGCCTGGGGGTTTGAGACCGGCTCGGGCAACTTGGGGAGACCTCATTTCTACAATAAATAATTAGCGGAGCATCGTGGCGTGTGCCTGTAGTTCCAGCTACTTGGTAGGCTAAGGTGGAAGGATCGCCTGAGCCCATCATGTCGAGGCTGCAGTGGCCGTGAGCATGCCACTGTACTCCAGCCTGGATGGCAGAGTGAGATTCCAATTAAAAAAAAAAAAGTTGTAGCAAACATGATATCCTCAAGGTGATCTATGTTGTCACATGTGGTGAGATTTTCTTTCGTAAGGTTGAGTCATGTTTCATCGCATATCAAATTAAAAAAAAAATAAGTTGATCTGTTGGTAGACATTTAGGTGTTTCCACATCTTGGCTACTGTAAACAGGATGCAGTGTATATTAATTCTTGATTGTGGGGCACTTACATGACTGTATTTGTCAAAACTTGCACTCTAAGAAGTCCTGAATTCTCCTATATGTAAATTATTCCTTAATTTAAACAAACGAGAACAATGAAACAAAGAGTTTACCCTGTAGATTACTGAATGACTACAAGGTGTAAAAATACCTTTTACAATGCAGCGGTCTGGCTATCACAGCCTCAACCTGAATCAATCAGCCTCACTAACATGGGGCAGCCAGGTATTGGGTGCTTCCTGATGTGATGTAATTCCAAGCCCAGAGCAGCACCTAGGAGGTAGCCCTGAACATATATGTATCAGCCTTTAGATCTGATTCCCAGTGTGCAGGAAAGAGGAGCATGTGAGGGACATTCAGAGAAAACGTGCAGATTCTGAATGCGATGGAGCACCTACTCAGAGGACAACATGGCTTGGGCTCTTCAGAGAGGGCAGTATCATGGAGACAGTGGGGGTGTATGAGGTGACATCTAGATAAAAAATTATTAGAGGCCGGTGTGGTGGCTCACATCTATAATCCCCCCACTTTGGGATGTCGAGGTGAGAGGATCGTTTGAGGCCAGGAGTTCAAAACCAGCTTGGGCGACATAGCAAGTCCATGTTCCTACAAAAAAAAAATTAAAAAACAAAAAAGTAACCAGATGTGGTGGCACATGCCTGTAGTTAATCTCAGGAGTTGGAGGCTGCAGTGAGCCATGATCGACACACTGCACTCTAGCCTGGGCCATAGAGTAAGAACCTGCCTCAAAAAAATAAAAAAATAAAAAACAAAAAATTTAAAGAGACATATAATCCCTGATTGGAATCTGTCTGGAACAAGTCAGCTATAAAGACGTTGTGGGGACAGTTGGCAAAATTTGAATGTGGGCTAGCTATTAGATAATATTAAGACATTATTATTATTATTATTATTATTATTTTGAGTTGGAGTCCCACTCTGTCACCCAGACTGGAGTGCAGTGGCCGCTCCCGGCCACCGCAGCCTCGACCTGCTGGGCTCTGATGATCCTTCCGCCTCAACCTTCCAAGTAGCCGCTGCCACGCCCGGCTAATTTTTTGATCTATTGTAGAGATGAGGTCTCACTGCCCAGTTGAACCTGCGGGCTCAGGCAATCCACTCACCTCAGCCTCCCAAAGCGCGGGATTACAGGCTGAGCCACCGGGCCCGGCTAAGACATTCTTCTTAATTTTATCAGGTGTGCTGAAGGTATTGTGACTTTGTCGGAAATTGGTTTTTAAAGATGCATTCTGGCTGGGCATGGTGGCTCACGCCTGTAATCGCAGCACTTTGGGAGGCCAAGGCGAGAGGATTGCCTGAGTCCGGGGGTTTGTGACCAGCCTGGGCAACTTGGTGAGACCTCATCTCTACAATAGATCAAAAAATTAGCCAGGCATGGTGGCGCACGCCTGTAGTTCCAGCTACTTGGAAGACTTACGCAGAAGGATCGCCTGAGCCTAGCAGGTCAAGGCTGTGGTGGCTGTGAGTACACCATTGCACTCCAGCCTGGACGACAGAGTCAGACTCCGATTCTAGATAGGTAGTAGATAGACAGCATGCTGAAGTACTGGGGATGAAACGTCATGATTTGTCTGATTTGCTTTAAAATACTCCTTGCCAATATCAGTGAACAGACAGACGAAGGGGAGCAGAAGTCTGGGGAGGCGGGGAGTCAGGACTGGCTGTGGGCCAGGTGTGCACCTCCGATAAAAGGCAGACGCCTTCCAGGGCCTCCGAGGCCCACCCTCATCTGACCTTGGGCTGCTCTGTCCTGGCCTCCCACGGCCTCCCGCTCCCCGCAGCCGCGCTCCAGCCGCACGGGACGTTCTCAAGTTCTTTCGTGGGCCGGTCACTTCCGCGGCTGGGGCCGGCGCCCCCACCGTTGCTGGCGGCTGGCAGGCTGACCCGGCCCCGCTTCCCGCGGGCTGGCTCCCGGGTGTGACCGCAGAGAGCCTCCCCCACAGAGCCACCCGGCGCGGGATCGGCCCTCCGCCGCCGGTTTTTGCCGCCTGGCCGCACTTCCGGCGCAGGCGCCAGGATGTTTGGGTTGCTGTGATGGCC